AAGACGAAACTTCGTATCACCTGCATTTTTACACCTTTACGTTTCTTCAAACGAGGTTAAATCCCTATTAGACAACATTACCATCCGTTATCTAAGACAGTGATATGAAGGTCATCACCGGCGATTACCGGCTTGGTCTGTCACCGAAACACCGCTTCCCGTCTCACCTGAGGGCTGTAGGCGGCTAAAGGAGCAGACCCCGTCAGTTTCTGAGTAAAATCACTGAATTTGTAGTACATTTTATTGCTGAAGAACGGTGAATGAGATTGTCCACTTCAAAATCAGCCGACAAAAGGACTTCCTGTTGCGACCGTCGACGGAAAGTGACGTTATAGTCAGCTGTCTGAACTCTGCCCGTTTAAAATTCATGTGAAGCGGTGGAGCAGACTGTCTGGAAACATTTTGTAAACTACACTAAAACACCAAAACTCTCAGAGAATGCAAAACTTTACTGATAGTAACTGAACCTTCTATAAATATAATTTTATAATGTGATATATGTATTTTGGCATTAGCTTATATAAATGTAGAGAAACGTAAATCTTAAGAGTGTATGCTGTGTTGGAAAGCACTGGGTCAAGTAAGTGGGTAACTTACCTTAGCCTACTAATAGGCGGATTATGAGACAAGAGGCCCCTGTGCACAGACATGTAAAAGGCCCTGCACCCTTTCTACAGTATATTGGACCCCCAGACTGAAACTAAATGGTTTGTTCTCATGTTTGTCTCTTTGTGGTTATATTGAGTCTCATTGTGGTAATTTTTAGTATTCTACAAGTTATGTTCTACTTACACTACCAGTCAGAGGTTTGACACACTTTGCCATTTAATTGAATGGTAAAATGTGTCCAAATGGTCCAAACTTATGACTCGTAATGCAGATAAAAAATAAATAAATAATAAAAAATGCTCAACCCAGTGTGAATCTGATGTGTGTTCTTGCCACTGGGCTCAGGAGTTCCTCACACAGGGGTCCTAGAGGAGTAAATATTATGTCATCACATCAAGTTTTTTTAGCCCCATCTCACAAAAATGCTTTAGCCACTTATCACACCTTAGAGAGTTTGTGACATTGATTTGTTTAGGTAATTAAAAGGGTTATTTTAAGTTAGGAACAAGTAATGTGAAAGCCTAAGATCAATAATCCAACACTGTGAAAACAGATAATAAAGTATGAGAACATTTCAATTTCACCATTTTTATGGTATTGCTTAATTTGTCAGAAGTGATTATGCATGTTCAGACTTTTTGCACAGAGTAATTTTATTACAAAACCTCATACATTGATCACATTAATTACAAGTTCATGAAAAACGGTTTGATTTATGGTTTCAATTAGGCCTGGCCAGAGCTCGCTGGGCTATAAACTGTGCTACATTAATTTAGTAATATGTCTTGTAAGCTAGGTAATAAAATATTACCTTTCTTTTTGTGACTGTAATACTACTTTAAAATGCACATTAATAACACAACAACAAGGATACTGAGCTATGTACTGTCTGCTAAACTCACACAAAGCTGCAAGGTTAATGAGGAAATAACAAGCGTAGACTTTAATTTTAAGAACATTTTAATGAACAGACTCATTAATTGGTTAATTGCATTTGAAAGAAAAGAGCAGAATCTAGATATGTGCATGCATGTGTGTGTAAAAGGAGGCCGGTTGATGGCAACAGAGGAAAGGGAGAAGAGATGCAGAGAAAGACTGTTGTGTGGGAGAGGTGTTGACTTGTTTGTTTGGATCATGTGTCTCTTCAAGAAATCATGTCATCTTGAGAAACTACGGACAGTGCAAACATGTTTGAATCATGAATCAGAACCATCATCTGTCATAGCCTTTATTTTTTTCCACACTCTTGCTATTTTTTTTTTTTTTTTGTCATATTGTGATATGGTAATCCAAATAATCGCAGGACAAAATGCTGCATGCCAACTACAACGTGTGTGTGGATGTGGCCTATTTGTGTGCACACAAATCAACCACTATTATGATTGGCATGTTGGAGGATGAGGTTGCCTTGGAGACACAGAAATACAAAATGCCTTACAATCACTCACCAAAGAAGAAGCGTTACACACTCAGTCTATTCAGTCTTTGTGCTCAGGCTTGCTCCAGAGTCTGTCATTTTGTCATTATCTTTTAGCCTGCATTTCACACTCTTGCTGCACCTTTATTTGTCTGCCACATTGTGGTCCTTGCTGACCTGTCTCCATATTTCATTATCTCTGGCTTATGCCACTCATACACACTAAAGCTCTCTGTGTACAGTACCACTTCATTGTCCCCACTTTGGACTCACTTGCTCACTTCTCTATATTTCACAGGTTTAACAGAATGCATCTAGGTCACACATCAATCTTGTGTAACTTGTACCATCTGGGTGCAAAGCTTCGACAAAGTGAAAGGCTGATAGCCAGACAAACAGACACACACAGCACTTGCTGCAGCATAGAAAAAAGCAGCCATCTCTGCCAAAGTTGTAACCATGGGAATACAGTGTAAACAGCAGCCACTGTCAAAACTGGACTGACTGCTCCTGGGTGTTTTTAATAAATAATAAATTGTGTGCAGTCTTATTCTTCTGTTCAAATGGTGTTGTTAAGGAGACAGGCGCAGAGCAAGCTGGTTGAGCATGATGACTGGAGATCATCAGTAAGCCAGGAATTAGACAGGCGAAATAAAATCAGGTGTGGCTCACGCAGAAAGAAGGGCAGGGCACACAGCTGATCATTATTTCACAGTGGGATCAGCAGGTTCACCAGTTTCTTGAGTTTCTTTCTGATGTAGGCTATAGGTGTTTTGATATAAATGCATGTTCACTGCAGTATCTCTGCTGACAGGCTGCGTGCGTACCTGGCAGAGCGGAGTTTGAGTTCATGGTAGCACTGTACAAAACTGTGGTAGATGAATGTAATAGGTAGTGCCAGGAGAACAATGCCACTCACTACACACATTCCCCCGAGCACCCGTCCTCCAATTGTCACAGGGTACACATCCCCGTACCCCACTGTTGTCATGGAGATAATGACCCACCAGGCGGCTGCTGGGATGCTGGCATAATCTTGGTTCTGTATGCCCAAGTCCAAGCCATGCTCCAGCAGTTGGGCCAGAGCGCTGTATATTGCCATGGCGACACAGACAAAAACCATCAGCATGATCATCTCCCGGTAGCAGCGCCGGAGTGTCAGCCCCAGTGTCTGCAGGCCCAGGAAGTGTCTGGCCAGCTTCATGAGCCATAACACTCGCATCATCCTCAGCACCCGCAGTATCACCCCAGCCACCCCAAGCCCGGCACCTGGGATCCCTGCACGGGCCATCGCCATGGTGACATAGTAGGGGGTGATGGCAATCACATCAATGATGTTCAGCGGCCGGCGGAGGAAGTCCCACTTGTCTCTGGCCACCAGAAAGCGGACTATGCACTCTGCTGTGAACCAACCAATACACACTGCCTCCACTATCCTACAGAGAGAGAGGAGGGGAGGAAAATGAGTGGAACAAAGTGTAAACAGGAAATAGCAGGGGAGCTCCAGAGAGATATGGATAATATCAGTTTGACAATCAGTAAATATAAGGAAGGAGGAAGCAAAGCAGGAGTGATTTAAATTACAGGAAATAGGGATCTGAGGCAATTCAGGGTTGACACAGGTAAACAAAGAGGAGAAAGATACACAGTAACAATGGATAACTAGAAAATTAACAGGAAACTAAACAGGAGGAGAAATTAAAACCCCTCAAAGAGACTGTGTGACACAAGTAAGCACATGATTACCCCATTGATTAGAATAGCAGAGGCAATCAAACTTTATTAGGGTGATGTGGTGCTCATATAGAAGCAGTCAGGCTGAACAATTACCACAGATCCTAAGGAAAACTACATCAGCACCATTACACCAAACCAAATTATAGAGCAACAGAGAGAACTGCATCATCTACTGGCATGAAACTAATTTGGAATCCTTTTGACCCCAAATATAAACTACCGTTTTAGTTGATTACCTAACCACTGGAACCAATCCAAAACTAAAACCTACCTCCAGGCCGAGTGAACACATCCTAGCCTTATATAGAAAAAGGCCTCCACAAGATAGAGAGGACGGGCTGTGGACCAAAATAATGTAGAAACACAGGCGCACTTTTTCATCCTATGTCCAAAAACTGAAGACTGAACAATTGCCTAAAAGCTGATTTAAACAGAAGGTGATCCCTGTAAGTGGCTTAATTCCTTTGTGTTTGCTTGCCCTAATATATAATCCCTCACCATACGTTCAGCTTTCAACCCACTTGCCCACTGGAATACGATGAATGTGGCATTAATCTGATATGTTTGTCCATCTGGTGTACTGTGCAATGTCAACTAACCAAGCCAATGAAGATATTCAGGTTAACTGTGAAAAGGGGAGAGGGGGCCTCAGGAGCAAGACAACGCAAAGAGCTTTCTGTGTAACAACTAACACTATAGCCTACTTTGTGGAGGTAATATAGATTGGTTATTGACTGGCCTCCCTGGGAACTTATCTGGCATGTGAATATCCTAATGTTTTGTATGCAGCATGAAACCACTGTGCTATTTGACTCAAGGGGCGTCCAATTACTAACAAAGATTAATTTCTTAAATAATGTCTTTTTTGTTTGTTTGTTTTAAATATAAATACTGCCTCAGAGTAACTGATGATTGTTGACAATTTTATAGTATTTCAAAGTCCAGAAATGAGTCACATTTAAGTTACATTTTGATTCAGAAAGATAGGATGTGTTATAAATGGCTAGTAGTGCTTAAAGTTTGACCGCTGCCCTAATGCAGGTGTGGTTATCGGTGTGTTTATTTAATTATCAGGACAGAAACCTACGCTTGACATGATTTATCCTATTGATCTCACTTTTACGCACGAAATTTTAGAGCTCATGTCTCATTTGTAGGATGCCCGCACACATTGCGCCTAAACATTTAGCAGCATCCTCATGGCTCTTACTCTTCTAAACTTAACTGGCCTTTGTCTGTCGCCTACCTGTGCTCCTCCACAGTATTTCTCTTGGCTGTATCCCAGTCAGGCAAAGTGCTAGCACACAGCATTATCATAGAAACGATCACAAAGATCACAGACACTGAAGCCAAAAGCTGTGCCGCAAGTGAGGAGTTGGGCTCCTCAAATGCTTTGCGCATCTTCTCAAGCCATCTAGCGCGACCACTGAGCGCAGTCCGTTGCACCGAATCGGCCGGGCTCTGAGATTCATCGTCCGATAATCTGATATTCCCCTCGGACAGACTGTCTAGTCCGATCTCGGACATCCTGTCATCAAGGCGTTTCTGGCAACAAGAGTCCAAGTGCGCGCTCTCCAACCCCCAGTAGAGCATCTCTGTGTAGAAGGACAGCTCACACACTCCGGGGACAAAGCGGAGTTTACCTGAGCGCACGTACAACATGATGAACACAAAAGCCTGTGCGTGTCGGTCGAAGAAAAACTCATTACGGTCCCTGTCGTAGTCATCGCACAGTTCCAGGACCTCTTTCTCAGTTGCGCAGGCATGCAGGCGGCTGACGCGCCGGAGAGGGAAATCCCTGATCACCTCACGACTGAAGGCGTACCGGGTCCCCCCTACGTTGAGCACGCAGATGCTTTTCCCAAATTTCATCTTGTTAAACTGTTACCTCTCTAAAACTCCTCTTCACAGTCCATCCAGTCTATTCCATAACAGGACTTTAGGCACTTGAGGGCTCCATAGTCTATCCTGTCACCCGGGGCGTGGCTCACTCTAAGCGGAGGTGGCCCTGTGCAGGGCTCCGTGACTGTTTGGAACTATTCCTTCGGTCCCTCACTCTTCTCTTCTCCCTCTGTAGCCTGTAGAAGAAACTCTCCACCCTAGCCAGGGCGAGCCAATCCCATCTGTGATGTCAACACGCGCGCGCACACACACACGGCAGAAAAAAACTCATACAGGGAATCTAGAGTCTTTACGCACTCAGTGGATGCTGTTTACAGAAACATGAAATGGTACAAATATTAATTAATTTGATGTTTCTTTAAACAGTGTATTGTCCTTGGCATAACACATTCCTAACAAAATGACAACAAAGTCACTGCTTTAGAAGTTTGTGGACAGTATTTTACAAAATATTACTTTGCATGGGGTTTAATCATGATTAATACGTGTTAATGATAATATAATTCAATTAAAATACATTGCTAAGAGAAAGATTAATGCCCTCTTCCAAGATCCCTTGTAAGATTTATTTAGTGTAGTTTGGCCGAATTTGATGTAAAGGTTTAACTGATGTTTGTGTGGTCACAAATTATAATACTTGCATTTGGATTAAATACTCACGCATAATTTAAAAAATATTCTCAGGTAGACTATATGATGAGTAAAAGTAGTTGTTTGTATATGTGCGTGAGTGTGCGTGTCTGTACCTATGTTTACGTGTGCGCGCCACCTTCCGACGTCAGCACTCGGTGGTTTTTCGGGTTGATCGTCTTCTTTTGGCTGCTGAGTTCACTGTATTGTAAAGGGTACTAGGAGGAGGGGGGTTCAATTGGTAGAAATCTCCCGTTAGGGAACACATCTGGGGTCTCGACGATCATAAGTTATCGCACTTTTTAAGAAATAGGTTTTAATTGTTTTTATTAATTTATTCTATTTCTCGTAGTTTATGGTTCACGTTAACACTCCGGGAGGGCAGAAATGGCGGCCAACATGTACCGGGTCGGAGGTATGTATGTCAATGTGGATCTTTTTATCACACAGAAACACCCCACTTTTGCATCCCATGGGGATTATGTGGCGTTATTTTATAGCTCGTTTGCTTTTAGTAATGAGATACGGCTATGCTACACTAACGGGGATGCGTTAAAATGTAGCAGGAAGGTGATAATTTCTAAATATTTAGGATTCAAAATGGGTCAGGCCTCACGTCTGTCGTGGCTACAGCAGCTAGCCACCAGCTTGCTAAATGGCTATCTTACAATGTAAACATTTTTCAGTGGTCGTCATCTTTTTTGCTCTTTGGTCTTCGTCTAATTAGGCCGAGGATACGAGACGTTGGTACCCCAACGTTAGACTAATCCAGTAGACGTGTTTTTAAAATGCTGTTTAAATGTTACCACGGGCAGTGTGAGGCTGCCTTTGTATTTGCCTCTTCTGGCATGCAGCCATTAGTACGAGTCCTTATTTAGCTAACGTTAGCACCAGCAATGGCTTCACTGATTACCATTGTTGCAGTTCAAGCGCTCATTTCAGCAATGCGTCGACCAGGCTTGGTAACATTAGATGCCGGATATTGCAGCACTGCCCAGCTGTATTCATCACAAGTGCAGTTGATTAGAAATTTGGCTTCACTGGCTAGCTAGCTCGTTAGCAGTCTGCTGGAATTCAACATCAAATTATTGTCTTGATTCATGGCGTCGTTGCGTTGGGCTGGAATAAACGTTACACCCTGTATTCAGACATACTCGAGCTTCAGATCTACTGTGAAATGGCATAGATGCTTGGGATGGCACATTAACAATAAGCATCTTTATCCAGGTGATATGGTTAGCAACACTTTTGTACTGGCGCATCAGCTTTGTGGCTTTATATCCGGTTGTTGTCCACTTTGGTCTTCTCAGGTACAGTTCTGCTGCTGCTTTCACGTGCTCTTTGTAAATTCGAAACCATCACACTTTAACTTGTTGGTGCATTAAAGTTTTTTTTTTTATATCTGAAGTAATAATAGACCTAAATGTTTGGAGAAATTTGACTTTTTGTGTGTATTGCCTCGTAATATAAAAAGCTAGGGCTGGAACAAATGATTATTTTCATAACCAAGTAATCTACCAGTTATTCTTTCACTTCTTTTGAGGTCTGTGAAGCGGCAGGGCTGTAATTCATCACTTCACAACAATACTGTCATGGTCATAAACATATTTTGGATCAAGGTGCAGGATTATATATATGTATATACTGACTGATTGCAACTGAAACTTACACCTTAACTACTCTGACATATTTATCTCCTTACTGGATTGCTTGTGTGTGGAAGCTAGTAATTAGAACATTTTAAACAGAACCTGAAGGCAATATTTGCCATGTGCTGCCCAGGCAGAGTTGAATCTGTCCAGGTTTCACTTTGGTGAAGTCATATTTATGCAGGTTTTGTTGGTGATCAGCTGTTATAATGACTGCTCCATTCCTGTTGTCAGTTTCACTTTAAATCGTATCCGTACAGTAACTGTCTCACATGCCTTGAACACCTTTCAGCACATATATATCCTCAGTGGTGCATTGCATTCTTATTACAGTTAGTTTATTTATGATCTGTTTTTCCAGATGCAATTTCTTGACACTTATTCATATCCATGTTTGGTGCTTCTGTAAAAATGCACCATTAGTAGCTCAACATTAGTTCATAAATGAAGGGAAACACCACAGTATGTTACTCATCCAGTTTGAGTCATTGTTTAGGAAGCTGTGAATGAGATGGTTAGTCTGCAGTATATGTATTTTGATATAGTTTCACTTGGTCCTGCAGGCCCATCTTATCTGACAGTGATATACAGTATCATACAGTGACATGATCAGTGTGTGGTTTCTGTTGCAGATTATGTATTCTTTGAGAACTCCTCCAGTAACCCTTACCTGATCCGCCGGATAGAAGAACTCAACAAGGTACTGAAGTATTTGTGTAATTTTTGTGTAATAATGAGTTTTTATGCATGAGAATAAATGGCAAGGTTTATTCTGTTCCTCCTCCGCCTCCTCTGTTTGAAATGGTGTGTGCATGTGGACATTTTGTGACTAGAAGTATCTGTAATAAATTAAAAAGAGACAGGTGTTCCCCATGTCCTAACTGTCACTGATATCACAGAACACCCCTTTGGAGGTGTGGGTGTAGGCAGGGGAAATTATTGTAATGAGCGTTTTAGAAACTCAGAGAGCTTTGGACTCAAGATGCAGAACATTTATTGCCAAACTGAGCTGACATAGATTAAAAAGCAGTGCTATCATATTTTGTCTGCCAGGACTTGATTAGTTGTAGAGATACTTCTTTAAACTTGTTTCCTAGGGGTGTGTCACTTAAGGCAACCAAAAACAGACCAAAGCCTAGATGTTCTTTTGTTTAAGTACGACTGACGCATCTTTTAACAGGCATGTCAGAAAAGCTTTTCCTGTGTGGTGCATTTGCACTAAGCTACTCAGATAAATCGTGTCATTATCAGATGGCGTGGGTGGGACAGTGTCAGATCAGGTCAGTGTTAGCCTGAAAAAAACATAATGAGTCTGATCATTATACTGTAAAGACAGGAAGTATTATAATTATCACAAGTGATAAAGGGGATAGATGAAAGTGAACAAGATCTCTGTGCAGTATGATGCATTCTAATACAGTGTCCCTGCAGCAAATATTGCCTGTATTAGACTTATGTTCATTTTTATTGAAGCTGTAGGAGAGTGGTTGATTGGATGTGATGCACATTTTTGTGGCTGCAGCTTGTGGTGGTTTTGCCTTGAAATTTCATTGTCTTTATATTGTTCCTGTTATTTTGTTCACATTCTTGTGGTATACAGACATAAATTACATCCTCTTCCTGTATTTACAGTGTTGCTAGAAAAGCAGCAGGAGTTCGAAGCGGTTTTCTCAAACCTCATACCCCCACATCCATCCACTCTCCATCAGTCATGGCATTTAGTACTGGCTAAGTCTTTAAGCCTGTCGGCCTAATTATACAGTGAGAATTATACAATCAATCATCTGATCAAAAGTAGAGCTGCTGCCCTGGTCAGCCTGTCATAGCAGCATAGCTTGATGGGTCCACAAAAGAGCCAGGTCTCCTGGAAAATTAGAGGTTTGTGCAGGGAGGTGTTACCAGCTCTTTCAGTCAACCTGCATCTCTCTCCTCTTTCTCGTTTGCAGACGGCCAGTGGGAATGTGGAGGCCAAGGTGGTTTGTTTCTATAGAAGGAGAGACATCTCCCACAGCCTCATCCAGCTCGCAGACAAACATGCCAGTGAGTGGGAGCAGCTGTCACACAATAAAACATTTTGCTTAGGCGTCACATGTGAATGAAAGTTACAGTCCCCCTCAAGCAAGTTAGTGTTTTAAAAGACAATACGGTTAGAATCAATAGATTAACATACATTACACTCAAATGTAAAGCTGAAATGTGATTAGCCAATTAACACAATTGACATTTTCAAGCAAAATTGCCAAATATTTGTTCCAGAAATGTGAGAATTTCCTGCTGTTCCCTGTCACCTCCGGCTCTGGGAAACTGTGATGATTGAAATATCTAATTAATGGACATTTCAGCACCACTCTGAATTGTTTTCATCTATGCTTGTATTTTGAGCCATTCATATTGAGAGGAAATGTCATAATGGGCTCTCAGTGGCATGTCAGTCAGGCAGGCATTTCCAGCAGCGTTTCCACTTAATTCAGGTCCTTTTGCACAATGTAACATTTACCATCAATAAATGTATTTTATTTTTTCTTGTTAACCACTATTCTAGAGTGTAGCCATCTAGAGATGGTACAGTGAGACATGTAGAGGTGCTCCAGTGCAACTTGAAAATATGCTACTGAGCATATTTATATATCACATTGTTTCTCATTTGCTTATTAGTGTTAGGGGGAGAATTGAAGTGTGAGGGTGGCTGCATGAGGAGACAGCGACCCCTGTTCTGTGTGGGGAGCCTTTCGACCTGTTTCTAGTGATGTCTCAGTAAGATTTGTGGTTACTTTCTGGAAGCTACTCTCTGGCGAAACATTCCCAGTTTTTTATGAGTAGGATGATTGAGATGAAGATTGAACAGCAGTGAAGCATGGTTTATAACGTTTACATGAGACTCAGCACTGACAGGAAATACCGTTCTCTCCATGTGCTCAAACTGTTTGTGTAAAACTGGTTTTGCTAGACTTTGTAAACATAAAGCAACCTTAAAAACCAAAATATAAACCAGACAATATGGAGACACATTGCGTTGCCAGTTCCAGCAGCTATCTGGAGTCGGTCGTCTCCCAGCTGGTCAGCAGAAGGGATCGAAACAGCAATATACTTTAACACTGTAAAAAAGGAATTTACACAGTTTATGGCTCAGATTTGTTCAAATAATAGAACAGCCAATGAACTTAATTTACAGAAATAAACCAGACTGTGCAGCGTCTGTAGGAGTCGGAGCTGAAATGTGTGTAGAAACAGAAATATTGAAAGATGTCACTCTGAGTGCTTGCTTCTAAATAAGGGTAAAAATTTCATAAGGGAGCACCAGTGCTCTGGAGCCCTGACAACAAAAGTTTCCATCCAGTGGTTTGCCAGTGGAGAGGATTCAACATAAAACAGCAGCTGTAAAAAAAAAAAAAAAACAAACCCCTTTAGGTTAGCATTCACTGTCTCTTTACACAGATATTCCAGATGTGATATATCAAAGGAGAGCAGATAAGATAACAGATACAGGGCTAGGGCTTCGGGTGGCTTAGAGGCTTTGTGTGTTTTAAACATTATTTGAAGGAAACACTAACTTATATTTATAACATTCTATTTAGGTAAAGCCAGCTAACTAGCTTCCTTGCTAATTCAGTGTGTGATAGCTACATTAGATTAGCAGTTTCTTTACTTATAAAATAGGCTACATCTCTATTGTAACCACCAAAGTTATAGCTTATTTCATGTTCTCTTTGTGGATGCTAACCTTAGTTGAGAGTAAAAAAACATCCAAACACTGATTATTGATTGATTGACAGGTCATTCCTGTTGCCCATTTACATTTTTTTTTTTTTTTTTTGGAGATCAAGTCACCTCAGGGAGAAGCCCAGGCCCCAGTGCTTCTCTCTTCTCTGCACAGCAGCTCAACTGTGGTGTAAAGTGGGTGTTGAATGTTGTATTGACTGTGTCAGAAAGTTACAATATGGTCAGCTTCGGCCCTCTCAGCTTTGTAGGGGGGTTTCCGAAGCTGTTTGATCAACTGACAAACAGCATACCAACACCATAAAGCCTGAAATATCAGGACAGCGGAAATGAGGAATCTGGCTTTCTGTAGGCTTTTATAACAAGCATGTGAAGCTGTGCTAGTGCCAGTGAAAACAGCAGGTGTAATAATAGATAGTTGTCAATTGTAGATGGTCTTTATTTATTTAAGTGAATGCCTGCACTGTGTAACAGCGATTTAAATTATGCATTATGTGCTGACTCACCTACAGCAAACCAGCATATCCAGTATTTATGGATGAACAGTGAGTTCTTAAAATTACATTTCTAGCAAAAATGTTGACCATAATAGCTTTGGCCTTTTTAATGGATGGCAGCAATAGTGTGTGACTGCAGTGCCCCCAAGAACCATTTTACCAGTAGATGGTCACAGTTAGGAGGTATCATTAAAGGGCCCGTTATAAAATCTGAGAGAAATGGGTGAATTTGGCTGAAACCATGTGACTTTGATCGTGTCTTGAGTAAACCATTGTCAAGTTCCTTGTGTCATTTTGTTTCAGTGCGCCTCTCTGACACATGACTACCATGTAATAATACTGTATTTGTTGTTTGAAGTAATGTCCATGTGTGTGTGCCTTTTGCAGAGGAGTTGGAAGAGGAGAAGGAGAACCCCACAGAGACAGAGCTAACAGAAAAACAGAAACACCAACTTCGCCACAGAGAGCTCTTCCTCTCTCGGCAGTACGAGAGTCTACCCGCTACACACATCAGGTACTACATGCACATGCAGTAGACCCTACAGCTCATCTCCAGGCACTGCTCATGGATGGTCACTCATCCAGCCATGAACACACCTATCGAGCACTGCTCACTTCCTGTGTCTGTTTTTACATGGCGCTTGTTCCCCTTCTCTGTTAGGGGGAAGTGCAGTGTTGCGTTATTGAACGAGACTGAAGCTGTTCTTTCATACCTTGACAAAGAGGTGAGCCAGAGAAAAGTAAAGTTGATTTGCCATCTCCTTGTTTTTGTTTGCTGCAGACAGCTTCAGGGCAGCTCTACTCGTGCTTTTTCAAATGTCAAATTTCTCCGAGAAACATCTGCAGTTTTCGATTTCTTTCACTGTCAAATAATGAGCAATTATTTTCTTGATCAGATTGCTCATTTTGTCTGGTCAGTAGGTGAAGATTGAAACCATTATCCTCATACAAGACAAAGGGGCAACAAGTTGGAACCAGAAACCATTTGAAATGTTTGCCTAAAAAATGACTTAAATTAGAAATTGGCCATCAAATTGATTAATCAGCTGTCCCTTACAGCTCTAGAAAAGTCTAATTTTCATTTATTTTCAGTTCCTGATAAAACCTATTGGTTTCTTTCCTAGTGGGTTTCTGAATAGCAGATCTTACGGCAAGTTTTATCTTCTCATCAAATGGAGATTACAGGCGTAGATCAGAATATCACTGAGAATTGTAGGGAATTTTCACACAGATTCAAGGTTCAGGTCCAAATGTATAGAGAAGTTATTAAGTTTGACATTAGAGCCAGTGTAAGAAACATGAGGCTTACTCTGAGTTTTGGCAATCAGTGTGTTGTTTTCTCCAGGATACCTTCTTCTACTCACTGGTGTACGACCCGACACAGAAGACCCTGCTGGCTGACAAAGGAGAGATCAGAGTGGGGCCACGCTTTCAGGCAGATGTACCTGAAATGCTACAAGAGGGTCAGTCAGAGTTGCACATGAACCGATTCACTTAACACTTCAGTCTTTTTAAGTTACACATGCAGGGGGCAAAGCTTGTTCTTCAATAGCAGCCTCATTATTCTCATCTCCTTTGTGTGTGTGTGTGTGTGTGTGTGTGTGTGTGTGTGTGTGTGTGATCAGTAAAGCTGGTATTGTTTTAGTCGATGATGAAGCACACGACTGACTCATCTTATTTAGTGTTTCCATGCTGTGATGTGACCAGTGATATTGTCGCTTGACTAGAGTTTAAGTTTTCACACACGCAGCCTCATGGTTTTTGTAAATCTTCCAGTTAACCAGCTCACAGCTTGACTGGAGAGGTGTGGATTCATTTCCTCCTTAGTTTCTTCATGCAGCATGCTGATGGGATATTTTATCTGTTTTAACTATGCAGTGTGTGTCTGCTGAAAATCTGATAGTCATGTAATATGTGATTTCTTTGAACACTAATTGGACGATTTCTGTCTGATTTCTTGGGTTTTAATCATGAACTTGTAGCATATAGCTGGGGATTCTAAGGATTTCTTTGCCTTCAGCTTGTGATTAAACGCCTGTGCTGTCTGTTGTCTGTGTCCTGCAGGTGAGACAGATGACAGGGACCAGTCCAAACTAGAAGAGAAACTGTGGGATCCGGAGTGTCCACTCACTAACAAACAGATAGACCAATTTCTAGTGGTGGCACGGTAAGACCTTTCACTTCATGTATCTACATTCACAACCTCCTGACCAAATAGAAAGTTTCATCAGTGGTCATGTAACTGTAGAAAGTATCTTTGCATGCTATGCTTTTGGTTTGTCCAGTCCACAGTTGCACCTACTTAAACTCACAGTAACGACCTGATGGAAATATCCTTAGTGTTGGCACCATCGTGCTGAGACTTAAGTTGTTTAGCACCATTGTTTTGTTCTGTTTGTGTATGATGTAAATAGCTTGATAGGCAAAATGATTTTCAAATTTACTAATGGTGTTCAACAAGTGAAGGTGTGTATATACAGTATATATGTATTCTGTGTGACTGTTCATTTGCTTATTTTTGCAGGGCGGTTGGGACCTTCGCTCGAGCGCTGGATTGCAGCAGCTCAGTTAGACAACCAAGCTTACACATGAGTGCAGCTGCAGCCTCACGAGATATCACGCTGGTGAGTTGGAGACACACTAAAAGTAAGGCACATTGATCCTGCAGCACCTGATCGTGACTAAAATGATTGTGTGTCTGTCGGTGGCAGTTCCATGCGATGGACACTCTGCATCATCATAATTACGACCTGTCCAGTGCGCTGAGTGTGCTGGTCCCAGCGGGTGGCCCAGTGCTCTGCAGGGATGAGATGGAGGAATGGAGCGCATCAGAAGCTGCCATGTTTGAAGAGGCACTAGAGAAATATGGAAAAGACTTCAACGACATCCGACAAGACTTTGTAAGTGTATATTAATAATTGTGCACGCACGCTGGCTGTGAAAAATTATATAGCCGGTGGGATCTGCTCCAACAAATTATAGTGGAGCTGAATTGAAGAAAGGTGATGCTGGATATGAAAAATGCAGCTCTGTTTGTTGATTTCTTCAACCATATTAAAGTTCTGTCGCAGTAAACGCACTCCTTTCTACTGTCCCTTTGGGTCCACCCATGTGCAGTACAAACATGTCCTTACCGATTCAAGTGCATTCAGGTTAACACTGCTGCGGCTGTGCTCATCAGTGTTGGTAAATATGCTGTTAAATTTAATAATTGCAGTGTAGCAATGTTTTCCTCGCCTGGCGGTAATTCATGTTCGCCCTCTGCCGGCTTGGAAGCTGGCTGGCACAAATGAACCAGAACCATCCGAGACTCCCGATGCTTTGTTGGAACTTTCATTCTTAACTGAGAACAACAGTTGCAGTCAGTTTGACATCACCAAAGTGGTTCAGCTAGATCCACTTCAGCGCTGTTGTGCTCATGTGTGCCAGTTGATAAAACAGCGTGCGTGGTGGGCAGGTTATGATGTATTAAAGTCAGTCATAAGAGACAAAAGGATTGTGAAAGCTGCTAACAGCAGCAGTGTGACCTTTTAAGATTTACTTAGCATACCGATTGAGTGATTTGTTTCTGTGGACTTCCACCCTGCACATGTCACAGTGGGAATCTGTTGTAATGATTATAAATTCAAGCTTGACCACAGCTGGTGTCCTGTGGAGGGTGGAATTACCAGTTTTAACAGCCACCTTTCAAGCTCACAGGGGGTGCCCATTTGAGTCTATTGAATTTTCAGTTCCACCTATACTGTAGCGTAAAGGCAGGACACTGGTGCATCCACTGGCACCAGGTGCTCATGAATACATATTAAATGTATGAATCACTGTGTTTGTTTGTGTGAAAGTGTGTGTTTCATCCGGGGCTCAGGACCAAGCAGAGCTGGTACAGTAGCTTTCAGCCTCTGTGGTCACGATGCCTCTCACTCATGAATATACACGAAGGCGTTTGTGCCCGGAGTACAAGAACATGAGATATTAATATCATTAATTTGCTCTCTGTCTGCGTCTCTCTCTCCCTGTCCTTCACACTTGCTTATCCTTTCTGCTTGTGCAGCTGCCATGGAAATCTCTGACCAGTATCATAGAGTACTACTATATGTGGAAGACCACAGACAGATATGTGCAACAGGTGAGACTAATTCAGTGTTTACAAACCATAAAATAAAGTATTACTTAAAACAGCTTTTTTTCTGTTTTTACCTTTTGACCACGTATCTGCAGGCCCTAAAGTATTAAAATTTTTTAATTCACTTAGCTCAAAAAAAAAAAAGCCTCAGAAGGTGAAAAAATCTTGAACTTTAATGACGAATGTCCTCAGGTTGTGGACACTAACTTTTATTTCTACTGTAGCCTGGAAGCTCATTGAGTCAGAATGAGCAAATGTAGTTTTTATCAAAAACAAATTCAAGGCTTAACTGGCTAATACATCGGTTTTCTATCATGTACCTGCATCCAGGTGATGTTAATCAATTAACAGTAATTCCTAGTAATACACTTGTACATACAGCTGGGAGGTGCAGACAGAAATCTGATGAGTTCATTTCTTATTTTATTTTAATGTATTATTATTTATTAAACATAACATTAGCAGAGGGCTTAAACTCCACAGGGCACCTTTAAGTTAAGTCACAGATAACATTTTGCCGGTGCTCCTACAATTCTAAATTTGTAGATTTTTGTCTTGCCTTTGGTTCTTAAGTTGTGTTTTACATATATCTGTGGTTATGGTTTTAAGTGATGCTAAAAATTTCGGTTGATTTGGAGACTAACAGGAGTGTCGTTCTGTAAACTGGCTTCCCACTCCTCCAAAAGATTACCTTTGCATGCCAGAGGATTTTTTAGGGTCGTTCAACTGTTTACATTCTCATACAGAATCTAACCATCCATTGTTTCTGTTTTTCTGAGCAGAAGAGACTGAAGGCAGCAGAGGCAGAGAGCAAACTGAAGCAGGTTTATATTCCCACATAGTAAGTCCCTTCACTTCGCGTTTAAATACTCAGGATTGTACCTGTGACTAAGACGAGAAGTGTTTTGTTCATGGTGATTGTTATTGATTTAAAGCAACGCACAGCTGCAGTCACTCTGATTCTTCTCTCCTCCTTCTCTCTGACAGTAACAAACCCAATCCCAACCAGATTTCAGTGACCAATGGCAAGATGGCGACAGTGAATGGCGCGGGCCCTGGGGCCTACCATGCAGCAGGCGGGGGCAGAGCCTGCGAGAGCTGTTACAGTGAGTTATTTGTTTGTGTAATGAAATTACAATGGCAGGAAACATGGGTAATTTAGAAATCAAAGGGGAACAAGCAGCAACAGCAAGTGTTATGAACTGAACTGCAACCAGCCGAGCTCTGAGCAGAGCAAATGAGAATAACAGAATATCTCAGAATTTATGACAAATGATCATCAGCTGTTTTAATTTTTTGTTCAAATAAGAAAATCTAAACAACATCTAACTCAAATACATACTCTCATTTCCTTTTCTTCAGCTTACATACATATTTGTGCAGACAGTAAGTCATCGTAGGTGATGATCTCACCAGACCTTAAAAAGCATCTGCTGTGCATGGATATTGATCAGGCAGAGGAAACTAGGCGCTAGAAACAAGATCGATGTACTGAGTCTTGAGACTAGTCTTCTGCTGTGATATTTCTAACGAGCATTAATGCATCTTTTACATTAACAGCCATGCAGTCGGCCCAATGGTACTCGTGGGGGCCTCCAAACATGCAGTGCCGCCTGTGTGTTTCCTGCTGGATGTACTGGAAGAAGTATGGTGGCCTGAAGATGCCAAGCAGAGCAGAGGGCCCAGAGGAGAGGACCTCCCCCAGTCTGGCAAGCAATGTAATCTCAGTCAGAATACATTCATATACTTCCAGAATAAAATGCATTGTGTTGTGGAGGCCAGCAGAACAAAAGATAACGCAGGGAGAACACCGATTTTTATACATTTCAAAGCCTCTGAAAACTTTGGTTCAAATGTTACGTATTCTTCGAGGATACTAAATTGAAATATGAAGTAGCAGAAAATGAAAATACTCTGGATAGATTCCTCAAAATTGTACTGAAGTACAGTACTTGAGTAAATGTACTTAGTTGCTTTCTATCTCTGAAGAAAACAGGCTTTTAAGGCATTCAGTACAGCTGGATTCAGCGGCCCTTTCTCCCTTGTTCCCTGCCAGGAGTCTCACTCTCGAGGTCACGGTCCTCGGCAGTCCAACCACATGGTGCCGATGCCCAGCCCCAAGTCCGCCATGAAGACCAGGCAGGCTTTCCTGCTGCAGGCCACCCGCCTCACCAAGCTGGCCCGGCACATGTGCCGTGACGTCATCAGGCTGCGCCGTGCTGCGCGCCGGCCCTTTGTCCCCATTAACTGTGCAGCCATAAAGGCAGAGTGTAAGAGCTCTTTCAATTCCTCCTAACTTCTGCCACATGGACACACACCTGCAAACATACAGAAAGACAAACACACACTCACCATCCCTCCTCACCCTGACTGCCCCACCATCAACCCCCATCTCCTCCCTCGTCTGTCTCTTTCTGTTTTTATTATTATTGTTATTATTATTATTTTGGTTTTTTTGTATTCTCCCACCTCGTTTCCAATAAAGACTGCCTGTCCTCATGACTGAGTATTGATCATCTTTTCATTTGTGTTTTTATTTTTTATTCTTTTATCTGTTATGGTTCCTAATCACTGAACTGAAAGCCATTGGAGTAATACACAGATTTATCAATTCAACAGGTCTCTAACACACAAGCACACACTTTGAAAAGACACACAACTGATTTTGCTCCTGTCGTTAACAAGTAGACTGAGCCGCCTATTTGCTGAAGTTAGATGTAGAGAAATGTATTTTACTAAGAGAAGCTCTATTTTGCACGGCGCCCCTGATAAAGGCGTGCCCACTCTGCTGTCATGTCTCAACGAGTTGTCTCAGCCACGAATGTTTGTTTTAAATATTGCACCTCAGCTTCAGTGTCTCTGCATCACATTTTTAAAAAACATTTATTTTTCCTCATGCTCTTAATCGTGTGTTTTTGTGAGTCTGTTAGACAAAAAAAAAAAAAAAGATTCATGGGTTTTGGACTGGTGAAACTTGAAAAGAAGGGAGGTTAAAGCTGAGGTAAAGACTGATTTGTCTGGTACAAAGAATAACTAGCTGCTCTTGCCTTCTTTGCTGCTGGCTGCATCCCCCACTGTAAAGCAGGCTCGGGCCACAAGAAGTCATCTCCTGGATCATGGTCTCATCCATACCATTCATTCAGCTGTTCTCCTGTGTTCAAATCATGCAATATTCATAAGAATCCATCCTGTTGCCTCTTCTGCCTTGTAAATCCTGCAGTCAGGATTTGCCATTCAGAGCCATCCCCCTTCTCCACTTTTCCTCTGTCATTCACTTTCTAACGACTATTGCAATATTCTCATCTCCTACCTCGTTTTGCTCTTTTCTTTCATTTCTGTGTGAATGTGAGAGTAGACCTCCAATAAAGTTGCACCTGAAAGCATCTCTTCCGAGTCCTTGTGCTTCATGTGTCCATGTTATCTGTCCATCAGCTCCACCACACTCAGAGGAACCACACTGGCACGCCTCCCTTCCCAGCATGGACGCCACGATTAGTGCCTGTTCTCATTACGCCTTCATATTTTGATGTATGTCTGTGCATGTAAGCATGTACTTATATTTTTGTATGTGCATGTGGGGAAGATTATTTTCAGTGGTCATGCTATCCCTGAAAAATGTCACTACGTTAGTATGTCAGTAGTTTGCTCACCTGCATTGCATCCTGTGTCGCTGCTCTAAATTCACTTAAAAGCACAGGAAGAGGTCATTTCATCAGTGTAAGACACCCTTGTTCAAATCATCAGGTTAATCTTTCATCAGCCAATTTGTTTTTAAAATTTTATTTTTACACCACATTCTGGTTTTAATATGGGTGTAGTATTCTCAGTATGGAGCAGAGGGAACTTGCGTAGTCTGAAAGACACTGCACTGGTTTGTAAAATGTGTGTGTGTGTGTGTGTTTGGTTTAGACATGTTAAGGGTGTCAGAAGGGCAGGGGACTCGCCTACCTAAAACCAGAGCCGCCCAAAGGAGCACTCTGACCACTGTTCTGCAGTTTCTAGGTAAATCAACTCATGATCAGTGTTAACTCGGCAACATTTAATTATAATCAGTCTAATTTTGCTCTTTTGTACTGAATAACGATGTCAGTTCAACAAAATATGGGTAGAAAATACTCCATAGGAGCCATCTGATGCAGCTCCAGTGTGGTCTCTTCTAGAGTCCCGTCCGGCAGCGCACACCCCCCGCTCCCACCGCACCCCGGGCCTGCAGACACCTCCCCCTCGGCGCCTCCTCTCCTCTCTCCCACACGGCTCTCACGGCTTGCTGGGGAAACGCAGCTACCATCACCACAGCAGGGCTGAGCCAGACAGGCGTTCAGGTACACACATAGAGACACACACTTCTTAAAAGAATACACACACACACAACAGATGAACTAATTGCACAAAAGTAATTATGACTTGTTTTTCAAAAAGACTCTTACTGTTTAACTTAATCCAGCCCAGAAGCAGAAAGTCATTACTTTTTCTGTTAACCCCCCTCCCCTCTCCAAAAAAAAGTTTAAATGCACCCCCTCTAGTTTTTAACTAAGTTTCTTCTGATGTAAATGAACCCTGGGGACCTGATATTCAATGTTCTTGTCATCATTTTGCTTGATAAAATCAAATTAGCAGAGAGAAACACGGAGTTGATAACCTTTTCTGCCATTTCTTATCTAAACTAGCTCGTTGGAGAGAATGACAACTAATTCTAATGAAAACGAATCAGCAGATGGGGCTCATTTGGATAATTTGGATGATTCAACTTCAGTCTGACACTTTGTTTTTTATTGGTAACTTCACTATTTTTACTGAAATTGAAACAGTCATTTGTTGCACCACTTGTAACTAGGAATAGTAATAAACTAATCAATACCATTCACAACTGACAGATTCCCTCATGCATACTTTGCATCTTTCTCTCACTGGTGTGACTTTGTTTTTGCAGAGAACCCAGGTACAACAAGTGCACCCCTCTTGGTAGGTGTCTTTTATACCAAATCCTGTACAAATGAATCCCTCCTACTTACAGTTTAAAAAAAAACATTTGATCACCTTTTTTGCAGCACAATGGCCGCAACAGCAGCAGTGGAAACACTCGAGGTGGAGTGATGATCCGCAAGAGACGCCCCAACTGGATTGATGCTCCCGATGACAGCTTCTTCCTCGTCACCCGGGAGACCAGGTAAGCAAAGGTGACCCTTTTCTGACCTTTGATTGGCTGACTGTGTGTGACGAGAAAACAAGTGATGATGAGCAGATTAGAGGAGTTGAAGTGTGTCAGAGAAGGACACTGAGTTATTTTGGCCCTGTGGTGTCTTTTTCAGTGCCCACACACAAACGCAAACAGCTACAGCATAATACATATGAGGTTAGGTTCTCACAAACCCACTGACTTGAACAGAGTGGCAGTCTAGGCTGCTTGCAGTCTTGTTCTCATTATGCACCATCTATGTGTGTAGAAAAACATCAGTACATTGTTTTGAACATTTAAAATTAATTTAAATTGTTTGTTCATGCAGTTAAGAAGTGTTTTAAAATGAAAAATTATTCATTTTGCATGAAATATCTCGACAACGTTTAGCTGGACTGGTATGAAATTTGAATCAGACATTCATGTTCCTCTCAGGATGTTGTAATAAATGTGTTGACCCTGTAAGTTTTAATTTAACGCCATCATTATGTTGTAGACATTACTGAATATAGAGATGAATAAGCACACATTTATGTTTACACACCCACATAAAAATAAAAATCAGTTTTTATGATCTTTCTCTACACACTGCAGTGCAGTCATACACACATGCATGTGGAAATAATGAGTCGAGATTTGCATGTGAGAGAGAAGGATGTTCTTTCATTAAGCCTGTGTCTAAATGAGCCATGGCACCCAGCCCTCACAGCCGCCCTCAGACCATGGGGGCTAAAATTAGAGCAGCCAACTGGTGCAGATGGGCCAACGAGGAACCAGGCACCACTGGGTCCTGAGTGGAAATATCATTACCACATTAACCATGGCTGCACTCATATGTATCACTCACTTTCCACCAGGATCAACATGGCTGTGTTTGTGTGTTAGGGGGACGGCATCGTGTTGCACCACTTCTGTTATTTTATACTGTCATTCATTCTCCTAGTGGAGACAATTAATGTTTTTGTGAATAAGACATTAATAGAGCTGGTCTGAAAGGCTGCTGCTAATGAGACATAATCTAAAGTTTCATTTTCTTGCCTCTCCCAGCCTCTTTATCTCTGTCTCTCGATATCCGTGTGATGAAGAGTGCAGTGTGTCACAGGGCGGAGGGAAGGAATGGGAGATCACTCCCATTTGTTCAGAGAGAGCTAGAACATTGACACTGTTGTTAGCATAGGTTATACAGTGTATAAAAAATTCAAAGGTCTAAATGGGAACATGAAAAAATCAGGGGATCAACAAACTGTCACAACTGGAGAACATTGTTGGTGCCAAATTTTACAGAAATCCATCCACAAGTTGGGATATTTCTCTCTGAAATGGTTTAAAAAATATTGTGGTGCTGGAAGAAAAGTCAGAGAATCTTCAAAGTCAGTGAGATTCATTCTCTGGGCAACATCTGCAGAAAATGTGAAAGCAATATATCCTATCACCTGTTGAGACATTTCAGTCCAGTGCTTAAGTACATTTCTAATGTATTGCTACTTTGCACCAACTGTATTAGGTCGAGCTTTGTCATTATGCATAGCACAATGAAATTTCTTTCCAGCAGCTTCTGGGCTTAAAAGACACATTATTTACATAACACAAAATTGTATAAGTCAATATAAAACTATGAACAAATAAAAAGGGATGAATGGGACCTAATCAGGTCAGCAGCATGTTAGCAGCAAAAGAGTGTAGTAACATTGTAAGGTGCAGCTCAGTGCAAATCTCAGTCTTTAGGAAGAGGTGTGAGCATGGGTGTGTGTCTGCAGAGGTACAGTGTTCTGTGTGTAGAGAGAGAGATGTGTGTGTGTGTGTGTGTGTGTGTGTGTGTGTGTGTGTGTGTGTGTGTGTGTGTGTGTGTGTGTGTGACTAGGGGTTAAGGGAGTGATTGATTTCACAGCTCTGTTGAAGAAGCTGTGTCTCAGGCTGCTTGTTTTAGTCTTTATATTCCTGTAGCTTTTCCTGGAGGGAAGAGGCACAAACAGACTGTTGCCTGGGTGGGTGGGGTCTGCAGCAATCCGTCCGGCCCTCCTCTGGATACGGTCAGTGTATAGTGAGTCCAGATCCAGAAGAGGACTTCTTACGATGCCCTGAGCTGTTCTCACCACCCGGAT